AGAATGGCTAGCTAAGTCCTGCATTATAGTTAAGGAAACTGAGGCTCAGAAAGGTAAAATGACTAAGCCACAATCACACATAGAGTTAATGGCGGGAGCAGAACCAGAATCAGTGCCTCCAACACCCAGTCTCAGACCCTGGTTCTTGCTCCACTTCTCCTTGAGAATGATTCTTCATTTATATGGTGAGTATAACCATCTATATTTGCTTCTTACTCATGGAAGTACTGGGATGATGACTGGAAATAACTAGTATGAGTGGTGTGAGTGATGCATTTTGTGACTTGGACAATGTTCGCGTTCCATCTGTGTTCAGACAGTTATGATTATGGAATAGTCTTGTTTTGGTCTTGATCCCATCATAGTCTGCTTTTATTTAAATGAATTCAATGAAATAATGAATTCTTTGAAGGGTGGGTGCAGTATTAAGCAAAATTCTTTTGCTTCTTTTTAGAAATTCTCCCAATGCTAGGGGTTTTAAGCAAACAGTACATACACTGTGTTTCTCAATGGAAACATAATTGGCATTTGAGGTAGAACAATTCTTCCTCAATGTGGGATTGCCTTCCTCACACCTCAGGATGTAAAATACACACTTGGCCCCTGGATACTCAATGGTATCAGCACCTCCTGGTCAGGGCTGGCACTAGGGTAAGGCGATTTAAAACGTCAAAATTAATGCAAGCCAGGCACAGTGGCTCATGCTTGTAATCCCAGCGCTTTGGGAGGCCGAGGCAGGCGGATTACCTGAGGTCATGAGTTGGAGACCAGCCTGGCCAACAAGGTGAAACCCCATCTCTACTAAAAATACAAAATTTAGCCATGTATGGTGAGGTTTGCTTGTAGTCCCAGCTCCTCAGGAGGCTGAGGCAGGAGAATCGCTTGAACCTAGGAGGCAGAGGTTGTAGTGAGCCAAGATCATGCCACTGTGCTCCAGCCTGGGCAACGGAGTAAGACTCCATCTCAAAAAATAAAAATAAAACAAAACAAAATTAATGCAAAAAATCTAGGAGGAACAAAATATCAAAATGCCAAATTTTTAATAAAGATTGGATCAGTATTACTGGTTTTTCCTTTTGCATCAGGCTCCAATAGCATTTTGTTCATCATGAATTTCTGGCATTAAATTGATTTTTTTAATATTATACTAAAACATTATCTAGCTTAATTGCTGAGTTTTGGGGGCATCCCTTAAATGTTGCACCCAAGGCAAGTGCCTCACTTGCCTTACCCTAGTCCAGCCCAGCTCCTGGTCATCGTGACAACCCAAAACCCCTCCAAATATTTACAAATACCTTGCTAAGTTGAGAATCTCTGAAATGTGGCTTGATTTTTCTCATAGAACTACAAGTCCAAAGAGAAGCAGCCTGGGCCTTAAACAGTGGCTCCCTGATGCCAACAAGGACCTAGGTTTCCTTTATCTCTGCCATGCTCACAAGATAGCTGCTGTGCCCTAGGAATTACATCCTAGTGTAGCTGCACCAGACTAATCTAGTTCAACTTTTATATAACAAAATCGTGATTGTTTTCCAGTTGCCCTGGACCCCAGGGTTAAAGGTCATACAACCTGAGCATGCCTAGTTGAACCAAGTGTGCACAGGTGAAACCTAAGTGCTTGGACCAAGGAACAGGGACTGAATTAAGAAGCAGATACCGTATGGCAGGATCCAGGAACCAAAAAGTTCGAACTCTGGTGACACCTCACGGCAGGATCCAGTCAGATTATGCCTCCCAGCATCACCTCATTGCAGGATGCAATCAGATCACACCTCATTACCTATGCTTATGAAATCGGACCCAGCCCCCAGCTCCACGAGACAGATTTGAGTGTTTCCTCCTGTCTCCTTGCCAATCAACTCAATAAACCCTTCTTGCTGCAAAAACCTGGTGCTTTGATGTTTGGCTTTCTCTTGCATGCAGGTAAATGGACCCAGTTTGGTTCGGTAATGCTAGTTCCAGACAGGAAAACTAAAGGAGGACAAAGGGCAGGGAAATCATACCCACTGAGCCTGTTTTCATTAGAAAAATAGTAACATTCCCAGAAGCCCCACCCAATAAACCGTAATGCATATATCATTGGCCAAAAGTGAGTCATGCGGCCAGCCCTAGCTGCAAGGAGCCTGGGGGAGGTAACACGTTTAAGTGGGCACAATTCCAGCCTGCGTAAAACTGATCTGCCTATAAGAAGGAAGGGTAGAATGCATAAAGGATAAATAGAAGTGTCTGCCATGGGGGCCATTCGGGGTAACAAATACTGGCTCTTTTTGGTGACTGCAAATGGCATTTTCTCTGCTTATAACGTGATAGTCTACTTGAGCAAGGCATTTTGGTGGTTGCTTTTAGAATTATGGATTAAAACCTGGAATGTTGTCTTAGGTTGGGTCCCATAGAGGCAGAGCCTGAAACAGGGATTTTAGTGCATGTGATTTATTAAGGGCACACTCTTGGGAGAAACCTGTAAGGGAGTGAGGGAAGCAGCAAAGGAAAGGGAAATGAGCCGTGCAAGGAAGGATGCATTCTCAGGTCAAGTGTAGCCTTGGCCCGATGCATGAGGGGCTATGGAGCCTGAATCACAGCAAAGAATTATCCCTCCTTCAGGCAAGGAAGCTGACCTTTTTTAACCCTTGATAAATCAGTCAGTTATTAGCTGCCCCTGTTGGGGGAAAGGGGCCAATGTAACCTCCCAGGTGAATCTGAGAGATACAACTCCCATCAGCCAAGAGCAAGTCTCCAGAGACGGTTACAGGTGTGAGCAGTTTGTCAAAGCATTTGTCACAGCTGGGGGTGGGGGAGCACCACCCCAGCATGGATCTGGGTGGGCACAAAAAGCATCCACTGCAAAGATTAATTTTAATACACTTTCCCAAAGACCACCTTTATTTTAACTTTGTATTATTTGAGAGTGTAATGCAAGATATATTGCTAGGATTAAAAGCTACTGGAAAAACTGGCAACAAGTTGAAAATGTCTCGGTTTTAAGAAAAATGATTAACAGGTGTTGACTTGTTTTTGTTGAACTGCTAATGCAGAAAGTACTTTATAATTTGCTCAGGGTATTAACCAGGATCTAGTCCGTAGTTCACAATCTCATCAGAGCACGTAAATATTTCATAGTCTTAGTGTCTCATTTAAAGCTCAATGAATATTTAATTGAAGTTGACCAACAAAATAAGTGAAAGAATTACGACGTATTTAGTTAGACCTGAAATGAGCAAGCTCTTCATTTTCTCAAGTAGTCTAAAGCTAAAATTATTCCAGCTTCACGAAATATTCTACATCATTTTATAAGTAATTAAAGGGCTGCAAAATAGGCTTGAAAGGCACACATTAAACATTGAGAAAAACATGAAATACAATGACTTTTCGACTTTAAATGCAAGAGAATAGTTTAATATTAATACATCATGGCCTACATTATTTATTCAGTAGTGGATTAGTTTAAAATATTGTCAATACTCTCTTTTTGACATGAAGTAAAAATAGAATCTTTTCTTTGGCCCATGGAAAGTAAACATCCTATAAGATTGAGAGTAATAGAAAACTATGCATAATCCACCCAAGTCAGTCGGCTCAGAATTGTTTTTGAACTCTGCGTCCAGCACTGAGCCAGGTACTGAAAATAATCCAAAAAAAGAAAAAATATTGGCCCATGTTGAAAGGAAAGATTGTTTCCCAGGAAAGAAGCCTCCCTATAGTCTGTTAGATCTCTATAAGTGTCGGAACTAGGCTTCAAAAAAAAATGTGCACTCTAATTGATCAACCCTATCACAGATGACATGGTGATGTGTCAATTCTACCAAATTTGAGGACGTTTTAATTAGAGTCAAAGTACTGACAACCAATCCATGTTAAAAGCTACTAAAAACCACCTGGTAAACTTAGTGTGCTATGGTTTGAATTCTTTATCTAGTCCTGAACTATCTTTTAATTACACGATCTCAAATAATCTAATAACTAGTTCTTTCTGGAGAACAGAACATAGGGCTGTGATACAGGGCTGTCTGATAAACAGAGCATATACATATAGCTGGTTGCCTTTTCTTTCCTTTGATCTTAGTCCTTTTTTAAAATATTCAAATACATTTCCTTTTCTAACTTCCAATATGTCCATATGTATGTGTGTGTTTTATGTGTAGAGACATATACATTAGAAAATTCCAACTCTTTTCTAATAATGGCATTGCTTCCTTTCACTATTTTTATTGCCATGTCACATTTTAGCCCTTAGCGATGAGGAGTCATAACTATGGCTTATTACTAATTAGTATGGAGAAAAGAAGGCATTTTTCTGTTCGTATTAAATGCCACATTCAGACTCAAACACAATTATTTGGTCAATGGCAACTCAAAAGTAAAAGTGACAATCTGACCAGACTCTTAGTGTCTATAGGACGGATTATCCCATCCAGTGAAGGAGAAGGGTTAATAAGCATTGGCCAAGAAAGATAAACATTTGCAACCAATGTGCCTGATAAAAAAGAGCAGAGCAAGAATAATTTTTCTTTGTTTCGGATACTTTTGTTCTTGAATTTATCTTTTCAGAAGAACTAACCTTAGTCAAAAGAAGCAACCTTTCACTTAGGAGGAATGTTTAAGAGATTATCATATAACACAATGACTATAGTTAATAACAATGTATTGTACACTTGAAAATGGTAAGACAATAGATGGTGTTTTCACCACACACAAAAAAATGAGATGCACACGAATTAATGCATATGTTAATTAGCTCAATTTAGCCACCCCATAGTGTATACATATTTCAAAACATCATGTTGTACACCATAAATACATACAATTATGTTTGTCAGTTTAAACAAATAAAGACAAGAAGAAAAACACTAAAAATAAAACATTAAAATAAAAGCAGTAATAAGTAGAAAAGGCAAAAAGAAAAAGAACTAGCCTTAATATTTACACTGAAGACTCCTACTTTCTCAAAACTATTTAGCATCTATAAAATTCTAAGACTGCATTTCTCCCAGCATCATGTGGCTTACCTGTTTATCAAAAGCTACCCATGATGGTAAATCGCTCCCATCTCCTTGAGGATATATGGTACTTTTCGGCTTTATCTTTTGCCCCAGAAGTGGTTCTCCACCTATTCCAGGTTTTTCCTCACTCACCAACATCATAACATTGTTGCAAAAGCCCCAATGTTGGGATTTGTGAAACTTCTCCTTTCCTACCTGTGAACACAAGAGATAACATAAAATAGCCAAAGTTAGTCTCGTGTGTGTGTGTGTGTGTGTGTGTGTGTGTGTGTGTAATGGAGTCTCGCTCTGTCACCCAGGCTGCAGTGCAGTGGCGCGATCTCAGCTCACTGCAACCTCTGCCTCCTGGGTTCAAGTGATTCTCCACCATGCCAGGCTAATTTTTGTATTTATAGCAGAGACGAGGTTTCACCATATTGGCCAGGATGGCTCCAATCTCCTGACCTCATGATATGCCCACGTCAGCCTCCCAAAGTGCTGGGATTACAGTTGTGAGCCACCGTACCTGGCCCAAAGTTACTCTTTATGACTTTTCTAACCTGTTTTAAAATTTTCACCAATACATTTTCTCACCATGTATTTTCCCCTCACAAAATGCAAATAAAGAGGCAAATAATTATGATCAATCATTATCCATAAAGTTGTGTCACAATCTTAAATTTAAATCATTTTAACCAATTCAAAACATTGAAAATCAGTAAACACAAACCTAATGCTCCATGCTATATAAAACATTAAAAAAATGACTCTTACTGCAAGTAAATATTTAGAACATTAGCTTGCTAATTGGTCTTTTCTATTTGTTTGCCAAGAATGCAAACAGAAAAAAACAAAGAGAAAAAAACTGCTCTGCTTCAGAATAAAATGTGTATGTAACTGTTTTCCACAGAAGTCTAAACATTATTTTCACCCAGAGAACAAAATCTTTTCCTCATTAAAGTGAATATAACAGGAAATTCTTCAGAGCTGACATTCTCCTTTAATTGCAAAACCTTACCTCCCACCTTTTCTGCTGATCTGGATAGAGAGGAGGAAACAGATACAACTACCAAGGGTTGTTGACAAGGACATGGGCAACATCAACATTTGTGCACTGCTGGTGGGAAGGTAAAGTAGGACAATCACTCTAAGGAGAGATGTGGAAATATGAGCAAAGAGAGAGGCATATATGTCCTATGACCTAGCCCAGGCGTCCCCAAACTACGGCCCGCGGGCCGCATGCGGCCCCCTGAGGCCATTTATCCGGCCCCCCGCCGCACTTCAGGAAGGGGCACCGCTTTCATTGGTGGTCAGTGAGAGGAGCACAGTATGTGGCGGCCCTCCAACGGTCTGAGGGACAGTGAACTGGCCCCCTGTGTAAAAAGTTTGGGGACACCTGACCTAGCCAGTCCACTCCTATACAAGTATCTTGTCCTAGGCACAAGGAACTACGTATCAGACTATTTGTTACAGCATTGTTTGCAAAAGTGAAAAATAGGAAACCATTGAAAGTCTACCCATAGTAGAAAAGATACATCTCTTTATAAAATGGTATATTAATACAGAGTCTAATATTACATGTATCAACACAGACAAATCTAGGCCAAGTGTGGTGGCTCATGCCTGTAATCCCAGCACTTTGGGAGGCTGAAGTGGGAGGATCACCTGAGGTCAGGCGTTCAAGACCAGCCTGGGCAACATGGTGAAACCCCGTCTCTACTAAAAATACAGAAAATGAGCCGGGTGTGGTGGTGTACACCTGTAATCCCAGCTACTTGGGAGACTGAGGCAGGAGAATTGCTTGAACCTGGGAGGCGGAGATTGCAGTGAGCCGAGATCACACCATTGCACTCCAGCCTGGGCAACAAGAGCAAAATTCTGTCTCAAACACACACACACACACACACACACACACACACATATACACACCACAAATAGACAAATCTGAAAAACTGTCAGGCCAAAAATATAGGTAGCTGAAGTACACATAAAATTTCACAACACATATGTAAACCTAGAAAATACTCAAAAAATATAGTAATATTTATGGCTAAAACATGCATAGAAATGATAAGCAGCAAATTCAAGATTATGTAATATTCATGATAATAAATGAACACCCATATGCCCCACAGCCCTGCATAACAAATAAACACTTCAGATATAACTGAAGCTTTATCTCAGAGTTCATAGCTCTGCCTCCCTTCTCCAGAGGTAACTAGTATCCTGAATTTGTTTCTTTAATGTTAGCACATCGCCCAATACTGTATATAGCCAGGGCAATAGTGTCTTGTAAAACATGATGCCTTGGCAGGGAAGTCTGATAGGGTCAAAAAGACCTCATTTCCGCTGGGCGCGGTGGCTCAAGCCTGTAATCCCAGCACTTTGGGAGGCCGAGGCGGGTGGATCACGAGGTCAAGAGATCGAGACCATCCTGGTCAACATGGTGAAACCCCGTCTCTACTAAAAATACAAAAAACTAGCTGGACGTGGTGGCGCGTGCCTGTAATCCCAGCTACTTAGGAAGCTGAGGCAGGAGAATTGCTTGAGCCCAGGAGGCGGAGGTTGCGGTGAGCCGAGATCGCGCCATTGCACTCCAGCCTGGGTAACAAGAGCGAAACTCCGTCTCAAAAAAAAAAAAAAAAAAAAAAAAAAAGACCTCATTTCCTTTTGTGGTAAAGGCAGCCTGGAAGAATGGGGAAGGCCTGAGTAGCCCTCCTCAGGGGAGTTAGGGCCATAACAGCTGCCCTGGGCAGATAACAGTCCAACTGTAGGGCTGGGGGAGGAAAGCTAGATGCAATGGTTAAGATGGTGAGCTGTAGCTGGTTTTGCCCCTACCTCCACCATTCCCTCCACTCTGTCTCTTTCTTTCTCTCTCTCTCTCTCTCTCTCTCTCTCTCACACACACACACACACACACACACACACACACACTTGCTCACACATACAATCAGATTACCACAAGTCAGTCCCAGATACCCACAGAACAAAGCAAAAGTTGGGTTTGAGAAAACAAGTAGTGGAATAATATAGAATTTTATAATGATATACTGTCTCCTAAAGCAAGTAACTCCAAGTAATCACAAGTCACCTTGAACCAACAAATGTTTCTTAAGTACTTACTATAGTCCTAGCTTTGTGCCAAATACACAAGTTAAAACAGGCATAAGACTCAGCCCCTACCCTGAAGAAAAAAAAAAAAACCCACAATCTTGCAGCGGAAGCAAGATTTAGATATATACAATGATATGGTTTAAATGTTTGTCCTCTCCAAATCTCATGTTGAAATGTGATTCTCAATGTTGGAGGTGGGGCCTGGTGGGAGGTGATTGGAGCATGGGGGCAGATCTCTCATGAATGGTTTCCCACCATCCCCTTAGTGATAAATGAGTTGTCACTCAGTTAGTTCACATGAGATCTGGTTGTTTAAAAGAGTCTGGGACCTGCCCCTTCTCCTTCTTTCCCCCACTTTCACCTTTGCCTTCCACCAATTGGAAGCTTTCTGAGACCCTCATCAGAAGCAGATGCCAATACCACACTTCTTGTACAGCCCGTAGAACTATGAGCCAATTAAACCTCTTTTTTAAATAAATTACCCAGCCTAAAGTATTTCTTTATAGCAACAGAACAGCCAAATACAGAAAACTAGAAAACAGCATAGCTACCATTTTTGACCACTTGCTAGGAGCTGGATGCTTTACTAAGGGTTTTATATCTTATTTCACCTTCACAGAACTATTTCATCAGTGTTATTTCTGCCATTTTTCCAATGAGGAAACCAAGGCAGAAAGAGGGAGACTAGCCCACCCAATGTTACACAGTAAGCAGAGGAGCTTGCAGCTGAACCTAAGGTCATGTGACCCTAAGCTCTGGTAAGTGTAGGGCTGACCAGAGTTCTCTATGAGAGAGGAGAGGCAAGGATGTTCTGAGCAGGATTACAAGTGATATACTGCAGCTGAGCTGACGGTGCCTAGGGTAAGGGGCAAATCTAATAAAAAGAAAGTCAAGTTCAAGTTTGGAAGGAGGGTGAATTAGAGTAGAATATATAGGAGGACTGTATCATGAAAAGCCTCTCATGTAAATATCTTAAAAGTCTCCTTCATCAGAACACCGGAATATTTACTAAGGCCTAATACTGGCCAGACCCCATTCTAGAGTATGGTATAAAGATGAAGTCACAGCCAGCCTTCCTCCCTCTGAGGAGCTTTCTCCACTATTCAAAGTTTTCTCCATGGATCTAGGTTTCCATATTCACATGGAAAAAGCCCTTGCCACTATTAAAGGCCTCACTCAGCTACCTGTCCCCCAGATTTCCACAGTTTGTTCATATGTACCCTCCTCTTTGATCAGACCACATCTTACAGCTTATAAGGTACCTTAATGTCTATTCAAAGTCATGTCCCTGGTCAGGCTCTACCTTTATACAAACACCCTCTCCATCAAGGATCAGCTCATATCCCACTCCATAGCCATCCCTTTCACAAACATCTGGTGAGCATCCATTGGGTGCTAAGTTGTGAGAGACTTTGGGGACATGGCTTGGGCAAGTCACAGCTCCCAACCCTAGAATAGAAGCCAGTGACTATGGCTCTGGATTTGGCATTGGGTTTCATACACATGACAACAAAAACACAAGCAACAAAAGGAAAAACAAATTGGACTTCATCAAAATTAAAACTGTCTGTGTGTCAAAGGATACTATCAAGAGAGTGAAAAAAAAAATCCACAGAATGAAGTCTGGGTGAGGTGGCTCAAGCCTGCATCCCAGCAACACTTTAAGAGGCTGAGCTGGGAGAATCACTTGGGCCCAGGAGTTCAAGACCATCCTGGGCAACACAGTGAGATGTCATTTCTAGAAAAACAGACAAACCAACAAACAAACCCATAGAATGACAGAAAATATTTGGAAATCATAAATTATAATGGTCTATTATACAGAATATATAAAGAATTCTTACAATTCAGCAAAAACACACACAATTCAATTTAAAAATGGGCAAAGGACTTGATAGGCATTTCTCCAAGGAAGTTATACAAATGGCCAACAAGCACATGAAAATATCTTCAATGCCATTAGTCATTAGGGAAATGTAAATAAAAAGTACAGTGAAACCAGACACAATGGCTAACACCTATAATCTCAATACATTGGGAGGCTTAGGCAGGTAGATCACTTGAGTCCAGGAGTTGGAAATCAGCCTGAGCAACATGGTGAG